CATATTGTGCTATACAACCATAAATTATAAGTTAAACCAGGAAATGGCATGAAGGTAAGTTACGTTATTTAATATTGTTAATGTGGTGGTAGCCCTGCGACAGACTGGCGACCTGTCCAGGGTGAACCCCGCCTCTCGCCCAGAAAGTTAGCTGGAGATAGGCACCAGCACCCCTCCCGACCCCACTAAGGGACAAGGGTGTAAAGAAAATGGATGGATGGATGGATGGATGGATGGATGGATGGATGGATGGATGGATGGATGGATGGATGGATGGATGGATGGATGGATGGATGGACGGACGTACGTGGTGGTAATCACTTTAGTCCATTCTGGGGAACAACTTTTCACTTCGGGCAATCTTCTTACCTAGACTCACACTTTGACCAAAGAATTGGTCAAAAAGTCTGCAAAATATTTTGCAGTGTTGTATACTGATGCAGAATTTAGCATCAGTAAAAAATCATCAGTGGCTTTAATGGTTTTATTCCATCAAAACCAAATATCATTTTTGGTCTATTTTAACTAACAGTATGTACAATGTAACAAATTTTTGGCCTTGATAAAAAAAGACTTGTACTTTATGCGTAAACAGGCATTTTCTTATAAGCCCTAATCTTTTCAGTCGAATCCAAAACTGTTGCCTTTAAAAACTTTTGATATATTTTTGTTCTTTTCTTGGCGTTACAGCTGTTGGGGAAAGATGGGTTTGGAATGGGCAGCTCTGAAAGTCTAATTAGCGCGAGTCTATTTTTAACCCAATAGTTTTTAGAGTGCACTCAGCGCAAATAAGCATTATTCACAGCTCCTCAAAAAATACTCCTGCTTTAGGAAATCGGAAGGTATAAGAGGCAGTAGGTGTTTACCACATTCCTAGCGTGCTGCTAAACGCTCTGTGAAGGTGTGGAAGGACCTGACACAGTGGGTAAAGTTATAAGAGCAAAAATACGCACAGAAAATCAACCCTCAAACACATTACACAAACATCTAACATATGTCTAGGTTGTATTTTTATGGAGGAGCTGTGGAGACATCAGTCAGGGGTTGGCAAGAGTTTTTTTTTTTTGTGAAAATGTAGGCGTTGGAAAAGAAATGGTTGGGAAACAGGTGCTAAAGTTGCTTTCCAGGGAAGCGGGGCGGTGGAAAAAAAAAAAAAAAAAAAAGAAACGCTGTAGCAACAGTCCCATATTTATAATCTCGGTAAAATTGGACCCCTGGGGAAATTTTCATGTGGCTCAGGACAAAAGCAGGGTGTGGACGAGAGTAGGTGGATTGTAGGAATGTCTTTATTTTTGTTTTGAGGTGAGATAGAGGAGGAGAATTTTTTTGTTAATTTTTTTTTTTTTTTACAAACTCTCTAACCTCAACACTTTGTAAGCATTCAAGCTCAGGTTCAAACAGGTCAAAAGGAGGAAAGTTCAGAGATGTGCGACTCATCGTGCTCACGGTGTTCATTGTGGCATCTTATTAACATTCACTGCATCTAAAGAAGGGAACAAAAATAACGATGTCTCTCACCAACAACAACCATCAGCACTCCTCCCAGGATGGCCCGCTTGTTCTTGGCGCTCTGCGCGTCGTTTCCAATGCTGATGCAAGGCATAGACATGAGAAGGAGAATCACCGCAGGGAGACCCATGATCGACCCCAGGATCATTAGGGCTCGAGTGGTCTGGATGTAGGCTGTGGAACAAAATCCTCCTTTAATTTAGACATTTTGTTTTCTATTCATGCCAAGTTATGAACAAAAATGACTTCATCTGCGTTAGTTGAAGTGAAGAGTTTGAACGGTGGCTACCTGGCAGCTCCAGGATCTGTGTAAAGGCGACACAGTGGTAGAGTGCCGTGGAGATGACGCACTCCTCCCAGGGTCCCTTGGACTGCAGCTCATCCATCTTCTTACAGGTGGTCACGCCGTACTTACACATGGTCACCCAGTCATTCGTGGACGTGGCGATCACGACCCCGAGCCAGCCCAGGCTGCTCAGGAGAAAGCCGCACAGCTGGAGGCAAGAGTTTGCCATGGCAGAGAGTTTGCGTCGAGAGCGCTTGTTCCAAAGTCACAAACCGTTTCTGGGAAAGTTTTGAGTGGATTTGATAAATCTGTAAAAAAAAAAAAAAAAATGTGGGAGTGGGGAGGTGGAAAATTATTATATTCCAATAATAAAAAAAGGTTAAATCCAGATAAATATGTGGAGGGGGGGATCCACCAAATCAGGTCTGCTGCAAACGTCAAAAGAATAAAACTCTAGCAGTATTAGAAGGTTTTTAAGGACTGCCTCAGTGAGAGGAAAAAAAAAAAAAAAACATCCCAAAAACTTTTATCCAATCAGAGGCTATGCATGAGAATAACTTCTTTTTTCACTTCTCTGAGACTGCACTGCCCCTTTCTTAAAATAAATCATGCATGCAGCCTTAGTGTGCCCGTCGCTGCGCTGTGAGATGAGAACATTTCATAGGAAAGATGCTGCCATCTGCTGGTTGCAAAGTATTTCTGCAAGTGGTACACATATGGAAGTGGATTTAAAGGTCTGTTGTCATGCTAAGATTTTAAAGCGTGAAGAAAGACTAACGGAATAATGTTGTTTCACTTAAATCACAAGTTTTGAGTTTTACTACGCGACTGAAAACAAAGTAAAAATCTTTTCAGCCCCAAAATAAGTAAAGAAAGCAAAAGCAGCCTACTTTGCCAAAGCACCTTTAGATTTGATTTTAGTTTTATTACTGCGCTCAGTCCTTTCAAGACTGTTTCTTACGTCTTGTGGAAATGTGTTAGCAATGTCTAGTCACTCTTAGGTGTTCAGAACCTGTGAATTTCCTCTGGTATCTTTTGTCCACATTCTTCTTCACATCACAGGCACGTTTAGGTTTTTCTTTTGGCTCGCCTGTTCAAAATCTTTGACTTTTAGTTGGTCTAACCATTATTTTTTTGATCATCTTCAGGGTCACGAATTCAACGTTATTCCTCGGGTATTAAATAACGTCTCAGTTTTGTCCTGATACTTTCGCTACAACGGCTCACAATTTCCCACAATCGCTTCAGGAGTCTGTCTGGTAAACTTCAGCCAGGGTTGCGCATGTTTCATTGTAATAAAAGGCTCATGTTAGCTCCGCCATTCCAGAGAATAGGTTCTGGTTTGCATCCCTAAATTGCTATTTGATTTTTACTATTAATCCTGCTGGAGTTCATATCTCAGAACTAATTATTAAATGCCAGACATCACAGCAGGGGGCGATAGAAGACAGCTGCAAAACACGGAAGACTTATTTGTTTCCTCCCACTTGCCCCTGTTGGATGGAGTCAAGTCGTATTCCATCAGTCACATCGGGACGCCGTAAAGCCGCAGCAGCATAACAATCAGTCTAAAACGTATATGGACTGAAAACATCTGAGGAGCTTCGGCCAACTCTCGGCCCTCAGGTCTCCAGCGGCGCCGGCTCAAATTGGGTTTGACTCTCTGCATCTGTTACTTTCAGGGTCATTTTGTGCTTCAGCACGAAAGCCACGAATATTAGAACGACTGCATTCTCTTAATGTATGACTCTGTCGATAACAATTTATCGCTCCTCTGGAATTTACTGGAAATACTTTTTTTTTTTTTTCACTTCCAGT